TATGCCACCTGAGAATGCTTTCACAAATATTATTACGACAATCATGGTTTTGCTTTTAAGATTTTCGGAAATTTCCTAATGTTTTCCTATGTTAAAATTTGACCCCCTATCATGGCTACTCCTATACCCTGGGGTCATGATTTAAACAAAATTGAATCTTCACTACCAGAGGATGATTCAACATGAGTGTCATCTTTCCTGTCAGACCAAGTGATTCGATCTTGAGAAGAAGATTTTTAAAAGATGCCATTAATTTTTCACAAATTCATATTTATATGTATGAGGACATGGCCCTTCAAGGATACTCCGTGCCAAGTTTGGTTAAATTTGGCACACTGACAGTATAGTTCTGAAGAAGTCTAGATGAAAATGCGAGAAGTTTACAATGACTCGGGTGAGCTAATAATTGAGGTCAAGATCTAGACTACTTTGAATAAGATTGCAATATATTGCAATATATTGTAGATTTAAATTATCATAATTTCGAGCAGAATGTTTGAAATGCAAATTCAAAGACTATAGATTTGAATTTATCTTTAAGTTTTAAAGGGGGAGGAGGGATAATACATTAATTGCACACATAATATTATAACACTTTACTTTTAATCAAATACCAGGTAAAATAATTACAAAATGAACCCCCATGGAGAATTTTCAAATTAAAAAAAAAGTTTATACAGAATATGTAAACTTTTGTCTTTTTATTATTATTATAATTTCTTTTTTTTTTTGGGGGGGGGGGGGGGTATGAGCTAATAATTGAGGTCAAGATCAAACAAAAGGACAAAAAATGTTGATGCAGTTGAATTTTGAACTATGATCAATATCAAATTGATTTTATTGCATATTTAAAGTAAGATATTTAAAATTGCAACAGTAAATTAAACTCTCTCTTTTCTCTCTCTCTTTCTCTTGAATCAAAAGGTCTGACGAAGTATTGTTTTAACGAGATTGAAAAAGCCTGAGGTAGTTACAAGTATTATTTCAGTTTATACATATCGTGAAATACCGGTATCTGATTTTCATATCGCGATATATTATCGTGGTGGAGAATAAATATACCGATATACCGGTAATATTGCACACCCCTAACAAGATCAAACAAAAGGACAAAAAATGTTGATGCAGTTGAATAACTATGATCAATATCAATTGATATTGCACTGATCAATAGGTCTATAACAGAGATGTCAATTTTACTCAGACAGCTTACCGGTAGTCGAATAGTTGGAATGCTTTAGTCGTATGTGTTTCAAAGTATTTATTTTACACCAATTGTCTCTTTAAACTGTTTAAAGGATCTGTTGTGGGATCCTGATTCCGATGTGTATTCATAATATTTAAATATATATGAGTTTGTGTGGTTTACTGAATATCATACAGTTTCAAAGAACAGTACGTATTATGAGCCCATTAAACATGCATGTATAAATGTTGATTAATATCAACATCAGCCACTCAAAATTCAAAAGTCATTATTTATAAATATTAAATTGTCCAGGGTATTCCTTGTAAAGTAGGTCAAAGTGAGTTGTAAAACTCAAAGTTTTTTATGCAGCGGATCGATCCATATATTGTTTTTGTCCTAGTCTGTCTGCATGCATGTTTTTTGATTTGTCTGCAAACTAGCCAAACTTTAACCTTTGCCATAACTTTTGAACTATGATAGATAGAGACTTCAATGTTTGGTATGCACATTCCACTAATTAAGCTCTTTCAAATGACAACAAGGTTTATTAAATTTTTATCTTGTTTCTTTGACTGTGACCTATTCGCTAAAAAGAGCTTTTTTCTGCAAACGTCAATTTTTGTCATAACTTTTGAACAGTGAAAGTTAAAGACTTCATATGATAGAGGCCTGTAGCAAGGGTTTTCCATGTGGGGAAGGGGACGGGGCTTCGAAAGAAAAATCTGCGTACTACAGATCGAGCTTTGCTACATGTGCACTATCAGATATTTTTTCCAATGATAGATTTCTTCACCGCATAAGCAGATGTCAAGTCTTAGCCGTAATGAGTTACAAAAAAAGACAAAACTGGACTCTTTATTTAATAAACCTAAAAAGTTAGCTGATGTTGGAAAACCTAAGTCAATAAGACCCCTAAAATGTTGGTGGTCGACATTTAAAACATCATTCGACTCGAGTGACTTTTCATATCAATTACAAATGGATCTGTGTTTTTGAGGAAGGGTCCATATTCTCTTGGGGGTGGGTTATTTTTTGAACTTCAGTTGCAGACCCCTTTTCCCCTTTTTATGGGGGGGGGGTCCCATGCTAAAATCCAAAGCCATGCATTCAAAGCAAATTAATTGAAGCCTAGCCTATACTTATACTTACATTAAATCATAATTTTTAATACCGATGCCAGCTGTAGACCCACATGTACAAGTGAGATTTGGTGATTAGAGGAAATTCGAGCTATACTACTGATTTCTTTTTAATGTAAAAAGACAAAGGCGGTGTTCTACAGTTTGTAACTGTTATATTATAACATATCTTACGTGTACCCACATTCATCTTCCTCATATTGTTATACTACAATTTAATTAATATTTACTTACCAAATCACATAATGAGCGTTTTCTTCTGGAACCCGGGTTTCGTATCGAGTCACGTCGAGTCCGACTCCTGGGACCTTATTCACAAAGCATCCGTTAGATAACGGGTCCGTTAAAGTCACCGCTAATGTTTCCGTAAAATTATTTGGTATTCTCGAAACACCCGTTATTTAACGCATCCGTTAACGTTTGCGTTAGGGGACGACCATTTGATTCTGAGGGGGGGGGGGCTGGCAGATTTTGGAAATAAATAATCTGTCCCTGAAAATGTTGAAAATAAATAATCTGTCCTCCTCTGCAAAGAAAATAAATAATCTGACCTTGACTTATGATATTTAAATATTGTGAAAATACCTTTTTATTTCCGTGTAATTTAACCTCAGAATCTTCAATTCAGCATTTTTTTTGGGCTCGCTTCGCTCGCCATTTTAGAACCAAATAATATTTAAAATCAGATTACCAGACTGGATACTTTAGTCAGTTGATCAACATGACAATGAGCACTCAGTAGATGTGATGAATCACTTTAAAAACAAGCCAATTCTTAAACACCACAAAAGATAGATTTTCTTTTTAAAGAATTATACTTCCCGATAAATTAATACAAAGTATACAGTGGCGGATTTAAGGAAGGCATACATGTGTATGACCCTCCCCTAAAATTTCAAAGTATGATATGAATTATATTAATATTGCCATGCTTTAAGTACAATACCAATATTTTTATGCCTAGTTTTACTCTTAAAATACACAAAAACCCAAGAGCTTCAGGGGGCTTCAGGGATATTTACCCCTTCATTCAAAGTATGATAGGACTAGTATTAATTATGTCATATTTTGAAACATAACTAACCAATTCCTACATATTTGTGCCTAGTTTTACTCTTAAAATACATAAAAACACACGAGCTTTATGGGGCTTTACCCCCTGGACCCCCTTCATTCAAAGTATGACATGACCAATATTAATAATGTCATACTTTGGTACAAAATAACCAATACCACTATAATTGTCCTGGTTTTACTCTTAAAATACCTGAAAACCCAAGAGCTTCTAGGGAATTTCCCTCCCTTGGCCTCCACCAGTGCTTCGCCCAGAACCCACCGGGGGCCTTAACCCGGCCCCAGACCTCTTGCTTGAACGAAGTTATACACACCCCCCATCCTGAATCCGCCTATGGTATATAAATGATAAGTCTTTTAGAATCAATCTTTCAAGGTACCCTAAGACAAAGAAGAAAATAAATAATCTGTCCTCGATAATCTTGAAAATAAATAATCTGTCCTTGACAGGCATGAAAATAAATAATCCGTCTCAAAAAAATTTGCCAGGCCCCCCCCTCAGAATCAAATGGTCGTCCCCTTGAGTCTTCCGCTACCGGAGAAAATTAACGGATACGTTAGAGTATCCGGTAAAAGGGCACCTTGTTGGCGACTGGCATTTACAGTGGTTTAACTTACACTTTACTTGTTGTTTTGACTAAGTATTTCATTCATTGTTTTTTGTATGTATCGGAAATACGTTGAAATGTCTAAATAAATGTAAACTTTAACTTTTTCCGTGGGATAAAAACGAAACTGACAGAATCAGAGTGTGCTGTTTTGCTGGGGAATGTTCCCTTTGTCTTGCTGATAGCTACACTCAGTTTTACATCATGTATATAATATCTATACATTATGAATACAAATGGAAATTGACGACATAAAAATGATTAAACGTCAACCAATCCCGTTTAGAGCGGGTTGTATGGAGGGTCAAAAAGACCTTAAACTCAAATACATGACAGTGTAATGAAGTATACCATGTATCAAAAAAAAAAAATCTGTTTAAAGATATCTACTCTTTTCAAAAAAATTATGATATCTTCCATTCTATTTGTTGACACGCTTTATTTTAAAACTTGATTTCAATAATAAAAGAATTTTTGGAATTGACATGCTTAAAATGGAAATGTTGCTTTCTTTATTCAAATGAAAAAATGGCACATGTATCAAAAATTGCACCAATGCACCGAACATTGTAAAAGAGCAACCAGTTACATGAATTTATTGCATCTAATATTTTCTGAAGAATTGCTCTCTTCGGTTTAATTATGATACCATTCACTCAATTTGTGTGAGCAACATGTCATTTAATTTCTTCGAACAATAACTCTAGTCAATTACATTCATGAGTCCAACGATGAAAATAAATCTATTGACTATTCCTTTCATTATATATTTTAATGGTTGATAAGAATTGAATGCTAAGCAATTGTGAAGCAACAGAATAAAAATACAGTCAAATTTCGTTATCTCGAACTCTGTGGAACATAGAAAATACTTCGATATAACCAAAGATTCATTATAATCAGTCGGTTGCGCCAAAAACTATTGTTCCTCAAAGGGTTATTATGACGTCATTAAACATGTACAAACTGCGTCATATTGTTCTCTCTATTATGGCGTTATTACAAGCAATTTTAGAAGAAAATAAAATTCGAAAGAACAGGATCTTTAGGGATAGGCTAAATCCATTGGATGCGTATGACGACGCGGAAATTCTTTCCCGCTATCGAATGACAAGACATTGTTTGATGGATGTCATTGACATTGTAAGAAAGGATGTGTCACATGAGACAAAAAGATCTCATGCCCTTACGCCTGAGGAACAAACTTTTGCTGCTTTGAGGTATTATGCAACTGGTTCTTTCCAGCAAGTGGTTGGGGACATTTTAGGACTCAGTCAACCCAGCGTTTCCAGAGCAGTGAAGAATGTTTCCAATGCACTGGCTAGTTTTGCGGGACAAGTTATTCAATTCCCGACGGATTGCCGAAAACTTCAAACTGTTAAAGAAGGTTTTATGGAGAAATTTGGATTTCCAAATGTAATCGGTTGTGTGGACGGGTCATTCATTCCAATTAAGGCCCCATCATCACGCGAGGACGTGTATGTATGTCGCAAGGGTTTTCATGCGCTAAACGTACAAGGGATTTGCGACAGTCAGAAAAAATTTACAAATTTGCTCGTGAAATTCCCTGGCTCGGCGCACGATGCCTTCATATGGAGTCAGTGTGGTGTACAAACGTTCCTTGCCCGAAACACGCAGGTTGGATTTTTACTTGGAGATCAGGCCTATCCTCTGAGACCATATTTGCTTACTCCTTTACGAGATCCCCGCAACCCGGCAGAGGAGGCTTATAACCGGCAGCATCAAAAAACAAGGAAGGTGATTGAGGATACTTTTGGCAGATGGAAATGCAGATGGCTTATGCTGCATAAATTTGGTAGGTTACATTTTACTTAAAATATATATATTTTTTCCTTCAGAAATTTGAAGAAGCTGTCTGGTTGATCAGTCACTAATTACACTAACGGTCTGTCGTATTTTTTAGCTCGTTCTAAGGGCGCTTAAAGTAACACAATGAGTCAAAATCATGTGTTTCTTTATGATATATGTAGCATACAGAGAAAAACTTCTCAATATTGCGAGTTTATAGTTAAAAATATAACAATTAAACTGCACCGTAAAGCAAGAAAAGACCGCACTATGTAAGTGCCGGAAAAACAGAGGTTGTATCTACCGTTTCGTTGTTTTCGCGTATGTGAAGGTCACGACACTTATTTTTAGCTCATACTTGTAAACAACAATAAACTGGAGCATGCAAAGGCAAGAAATATATTCTTACAACTTTTTAAAAAGATTGCATTAAAAGTTTTGGTCTATTCCTAGCCTACATTCATTCCTGAGTACTTGAGACAATGGTATCTATGTTACTTATTAAACTTTTCTACGCACGCGTACAAGAGGGAGGAAGAAGTAAAGAAATATTTTCGTTATGGGGCATACTGACATTTATTTTACTTTTATTTTTCTCCATAGAAATAAACCTTATACTAGTACTGGTACTTTAAGAAATTGAACAAAGTTTACTCGAGTCATGCCAAAATTCTACGATTACTTTGTCAAATTTCCCCTTTGTGCGTCACGGTGTCTCTTTAAAGAAATTTTCGCGTGAAAAAAATAAGTATATATCCCAATTCAAATATGCTTATTTTGTATAAAAAAAAATAAATTAAAACACGATTTTCTATCAATTTTTAATTAAGTTTGCAATAAGCACGTACAGAATCATTGTAAAAACTGTCCTTTTCATAAAGGAAATTCATTGACAAACAACACATTAAATAAACATTGTAGTAAATAATGCACAGAAAGAGTTTTTTTTTACCTCCGGTTGTATACTTTCATCATTATATTCAAAACATAGGTGGTGCAATCACAGTTGAATTGACAACAGCTGTAAAGGCAATTATAAGCACTGGTGTCCTGCATAATATTTGCGAGAGTAAAGGTATACCTTTACCGGAGGTTTATCAGGCGGGAGCTGAGGACGAAGGCAGTGAGGACATCACCCCTACAGACAGAGGACAGGACGTGGTGGAGGGTGAAGCTGTTAGAGCCAGTCTCATCAGAGCACACTTTGTATAAAGTGTTCTGGGTTTCTTTAACACTTAAATTGCAAACATTTTACTTAATTAATATAATAAAGTGAGTCTAAATGAAAATTGGTGCTTATACATGTTATACATGGATCTTGTCAAAGTGGAATACTAAGTATTAGTATTTTACACCCTATCTCCCGAAGTATACATAATAAAGTCCTCCGTATACAAATATTGTTTTTAGAGGTTTATATACAGGTATATGCAGAAGTTAACATTATCCTCAGACATATTTAATTTTTATGATTCTTAGTTAATCAGAAACTAATACTATACATTGTAAGTATAAACTTTGAAAACAGTACATTGCGTTCGAAAATGAAACTTAATAAATGTAAATTTGACATGCAGCTGCAAGAATTCTTATTTAACTTCATCTAAGTATCAACCTAACTAAAAATGAAAATAATGCATGTACGTTATTAATTTTGTTGTAACAATTTGAGTCATTTATTTAGGTTAATGAGGCATACAGGTAGCTGTAATCTTGGGGCATGTATTCCTGGGTCTGAGAATTGCCTTTACTAGTCTTGTTCGCCATGTCTTGAAGGATGTGGGATATCTTCCTCAGTTCCTGCAAGCGTTCTTTTTCTAGCAAATACCTATCTTCCTCGAGTTTCAGTCTCTGCTTTTCTATCATTAATCGCTCTTTCTCAATACTCAGAAGTTCTGAATGTGTGCTGAAAAAATTAATGCAAGCTTTCTAATGGATATGATGAATGATATACTTTAATTGAATACAACAGAGGACTGATTAAGAGAAAGGGATTGAACATTCTAGCAGTGGTTCAGATACACCCCCTCCCCTTGTTGTCTTCGAAAATATTTTCCGAGAAAGTTACATTATGAAAAAAAAAATTACTTGAAGAAAATATTTATTTGATTTATAAAATTCACCTCTCTTTCTCGCCTTTGTCAGCTGTAACACGGCGTCGATCACGATCTTTGACATTACTGCATCTGTTTGGTGTTGTTCTAGTGTCGTTACTCAGCTCACCGGTGTCTGGTAATGGGCTACTACATGTACCCTCACCACGTATTTCTCCCTGTTGCAATGCCTTCTTCACCTCGCCAGCCTCTGACCCCTATCATTATTTGTAAAACTATATCTACTATAACTAAAGAAGTTTTTTATCCAAATATCCATGGACGTAGCTTTGTTTTTTGAACAAAAAAGGAAGGGCAGCCAGAGAAAAAGAAGTTAAATTGTATTTCCTTTGTTTGATTATACTACCACAAAAAGGGGCAAGCGGACTTTCAATAAACATTTACCAACAGTAAAGGAGGGGGCAGCCCTTTCTGTTATTTTATACAGGGGTTATACGTGTATGTAAGATTTACAATTTTAATTATTTTCAATCCTAGAGACAAATCAATTCAGCTCGAACATTTGTCATTGCTTCGTGGAGCGATGGAGAAGGTATGAGTATTTTACCCTATCTTTGGACTTTCAGTAGGCGTGACTTTCTCGGCGCTACGTAATGGAGAATACTAGTAGATTCTCATTGGTTACGAAATTAATAAGATAGGAACTTAAAATTGTTGTTGATAACGATCAGACGACTTATGCCCCACCTCTGTGCCGTTAGAGAACTTTTAATTGGTTATTTACTACACCAGTTGACATTCGGCCGCATTTCTATCATATGTATATTTCAACAGTGAAGGGAAGCTGTGTAAATTTCAGAAGCTAATTAGGTAACGTCGAGAATGCCACGCCTTCCTGAAAGTCCACATTAAGCGTGTAATTCTTCTAAGTCGATCTTGTGATGTTTAAATCATTTTGAATGTTAAAGGATCAAGATTACAGCATCATTAGAATTATCACCATGCCTTTTCAGTGAGAATAAAAAGAATGTTATCCTAAAAACAAAAGGACTATTTAGAATACATTCATGTCATCTACTTCAGCTTCAAGTTACACTAATACGTATTAAGGCGAACCTCTTGAAGTTGTTGAAGCTCAAAACAATCCACTCCATCCGCCAATCCGTATACTCTTTCTTCACCAATAAGTGAGACCACCATTTCCTCCATTGGTGTAAGAGGATCCGCCTCATTCTGTCCCCCTCCAGTAACACTGCGGTCCTTTATCACAGGAAAAGTTTTTATCATTAAATGAAGCTATATGGAACATTTAAGTAAAATGTCAGTTATATAACATCAGTTTATTTGTTATATACCTAGTAGTCAATTTTCATCATTTTTGATCATGTTGCAGTATTTTTATAAAGTAAACTATTGGGATTCCTAATCATTTCGTGGTTACGTTAGGGTCACTTATCAAACTGACATCTTTTAAATACGCTCACACAAATAGCTTAACGTAATATAAGGTATGTTTTTGGTAAGTTCGAACTAATATAAAAAAAACAAGCTAATTCAGAGAATTCGTGTCCCCCGCTTAGGGAAAAAGTCGGCTCCCCCTGACTGAATTTGTAGAATTATTAAATGTATACATGTATACTGAAGCAAATAAAATACATGTATGTCAATATGCATATAAAGATTTGATTGCTTATTCTTTATTATGTGTATAGAAGATTTTTTATATGGAATGTTTATCACACTGTAATGATGATTTTATAACCGCATAAATTTTTCATTTCACATGCTTAATACTATCATTTATTAAAAAAAAAAAAGTATTTAAAAAAAAAAAAAAAGGATCGACCGAGATTCGATCCCGGGTCCTCTCACATTTGAAGCGAGAGACATAACCACTAGACCACGGAATCGCTTTACGCGCTGCGAAGTATATGCAGAATTGAAGTCACATACATGTATATATTCATGTTTTCATGTTCGGTATTCTCAAAATTTTACACAATCCATGGTGTTTGATTTATTTAGCCTTTATTAAACAGTTCTAATAGATGTAATATGAACATAATGTCCGCCGAGAACCTGTTTTATACGCAATAACTCTCCTCATGCCCTTGCACTAAAAATAGCGACATGTAATACTATAATACTAATAAAACAAACGGGGCGGGGCACTTTGAGAGGGGCGAGAGACGTCCTAGGAGTTTTGGTATAAAATTACATTGCATTAGCTCAAAATCTTCTTGAAATATCGCCCGGAAATGGTAGTTTTACATACAGACAGAATGTATGAATTTACGACCTTGAACTTTGACCTTTTGACCTCAAAATCAATAGGGGTCTTCATTAGGCCACAGGGAGTTGTTATATAAAATTTCATTGCAATAGCTCAAATGGTTCTCGAGATATCGTGTGGAAACTGTTTTAACAACAGAATTTGCTTATTTATGACCTTGACCTTTGACCTTTTGACCTCAAAATCAATAGGGGTCTTCTTTAGTCCATAGGGAGTTGCTATGCTAAATTTCATTGCAAAAGCTCAAAGGGTTCTCGAGATATCGTGTGGAAACGAAAGCGTTACAGACAGACAGAAAGACGGACGGACGGACGGACAGACGGACAGACGGACGGACGGACGGACGGACAAACCCAAATTAATATCCCCCACTTTTCAAGCGGGGGACAAAAAAATTTCCTTTATTTAGGGCCACCGGAAGGCGATGGGTTATTTGATATGAAAGTTAGAAGTCACCGTGGGTTTCTGCGGAGTTAAAACAATATACAAGTAACAGCTTTTCAAATAGCTTGCCTGACTAATGCCATCAATATTTAAAGAACCCATAAGCATGATAAGTTATAAACGTTTAAATTGGGGGAGGGGGGGGGGGAGTAAATTGTTTCACTAGAATGAATTATGAAGATGTTGCACAAAACATAATGTATTCATTTTAAGTTGTATGATACTCATCAGAGCAATGGAAAAAGAACAAATTTTATATAAACCATATATATTGTTTGTATCTCAAATAAAAAATGAAATCATGTACACGTCCAGCTGTAGATTCGAACCCGCGACATAGAGATGAACACCTCACTCCGCGAGTCTAAAAATTGTTTAGAGGATGAAGTAAATAAGGAAAAGAACTAATGTAATTGATTAATGCTGGAAAGCATGGCTATATGTAAAGGTTACATAGATTAGATTCAACTGAATACAGCCTAGGCTTTGAGGAAGACAGCTGAAAATATGATATACCTACAAGAAATTAAGAATCGTAACGGTTATGATCCAACAAACTTAGGGGACTCCGACCCTCAGCCACGAAGGACAACTCTTTAATTTATAATACAATTCAAAAAGTTTTTAAATGAAGCTTGAAAATTAAATATTTTCTTGCAACAATTTTCATTATATGCCTCTCAATGTGCTTTGAGGTTCTTTACAAAGCTCTGTAAATCACTTCTAATTTCATATAATGTTAATAAACATTGGCATCTAAAAATGCCTTTTCGGGATAAAAATTTCTACTTTTAATTAGACCTTTCTGAGAAGTTCAAAGAACCTTGAAGCACATTGAGAGGCATATAATGAAAATTGTTGCATGAAAAGATTTAATTTTCAAGCTTCATTCAAAAACTTTTTGAATTAAATTATAAATTAAAGAGTTGTCCTTCCTGGCTGAGGGTCGGAGTCCCTTAACGGCGATTTATAAATGGCGACAGCAGGCGCAGATTCATGAAGTTTTTCCCAGGAATGAGAAGTCGGTCCACATCAAAAATATTTGTACGAGCAAAAAAGTAATAAACCATCTAATAAATCCTAAAATGTGAGAGGACACTTTCATAAGTCTGTATGCTCTGTTTTTGTAGTAGGAAACCCCCTGTAGGGGGAGGGGGTTATGATCATATGTATATTTGGCCAGTGCATCCTCTTAAGAGGTTTTTGTTCGTTTCAGTTTTTTTTACTATTTTCCAAAGTTCGACCTTGATTCCGACAAATAGGAACATGAAGTTTTCATTTCCTTTCAATAGAATATTTTTAAACAGATATTTACCAATATTTTAGATACATTAGCTCCTATTGTTGAAATAAGGGTAAAGCAAAGAACAGAGCCATGGATGACTTCATATATTTTAGGCCTCATTAGAGACAGAGATAAACATTTGTATTTATATAGAAAGCATAAAAGTCATGAAGACAATAAGATATTTTGTAAATTGAGAAATCAAGTGCAGAGAGAAGTAAGGAAAGCTAGATCCTCTTACTTTCAAGACAAAATTGAAGAAAATAGGTCAGAACCTAAAAAATTGTGGCAACAACTCAAGAACATAGGATACAAATATAAACAAAAAAGTAGTGAAAACATTGTCTTAAACATAGATGGTATAGTACAACATGAAGGGAAAACTTTAGCAGATTATTTCACTGTTTTTTTACAACTATTGCATTAAAACTTGTAAGTAAATTACCTAATCCTTCACATATGTTTTCTGTCACCTCAAGGGTTTTTAGACAGTTTTATGCAGATAAAAACATAGAAAACAAAACTTTTGTACTTCAACCTGTGACTGAAGATTTTATATACAAAGAACTAAAAAGTTTGAATGTAAATAAAAGTACTGGTTTAGATAATATACCAGCAAGGTTTTTAAAAGATGGTGCTTTTTATATTAAAGAACCTATTATGTCCATTGTAAACAAATCTATAACCACCGGTATTGTACCAGATGATTTTAAAATGGCAAGAGTTAAGCCTTTGTTCAAAAAAGGAAATTCTTTGAAGTGGGAAATTATAGGCCAGTCAGTATATTACAGTATGTATAGTTTCAAAGATTTTGGAAAAATGTGTC